AGGGCTCAGATCATGACAGCTTCCAAATATCACTGAAATTAACCTGAGGGGAGCTTTTGGCACAGACGTCCAAAACTGCCTGCTCCGGAGAAAGAATCTTCCATTCAGCATCATCAGAGCTCATGGCTAGTCTCCCAAAGAGGAGCCAAAGGACAGTTTGAAGTTTCTGGGTTGCTGGGGTGATGACCCTAAAGCCTGTGGGAAGTCTTCAGGGAAACGCCCAGGGGGGTGAAGGAGGACATTACTTACAGAAAAGCAAGATCGTGCTTTGAGAAGCTCTTGTTTCTGACAAATATGCTTGTGAACCAACTCTATTAGCTCCAGTAGGATCTGGCAGTCTGAAAGGGTGAACACAAATCAGTACAACTGGTGACCAGAGGAGGTTGTGGGACACTTTTGCACCAAGAGAGATTTTTGAAAATGAAAACCGTAAGACGCTTCCTGGGCAATTAATGTGTTTCCACTTGCACAGCTCTGGTTCCATCATTTCAAGCCTTGCACCCCAGTGGGATGGAGGGACCCTGGCCAGCAACAGGGGCCAGCATGGGGAGGGAGAGGAAGAGAGCAGGTTGGTGATCAGTAAACCCTTGTGGAACCCTGCAATGAAAACAAATGACTTGATGAGTATTGAAGGGAAGATTAGTCAGAGAGCACCAGAGCTCAAAGAAGAAGGTGCTCAAGACAGGCCAGAGAAGTCAAGGTGGGCTTCTAGGAGGAGGTGGGGTTTGTGCAGAGTCCTGAGAGAGACCAACACATGGGGCCTTAGGGAGGGAGGAAGTGACACGGGGTGGAACAGGAATTCACTATTAGGCAAGGTGTTTAAAACAGTCCCATTGTGAAATTGGGGCTCTTCAGCTCAGCTAGCAAAAACATGAAGCTAATAATGATAGAGTTGCAAAATGAATCTCTGAGGTGATTGACTTTGTGCAAAAAATAATAAAATTAGTAAATCAATTTAACAAAAAAATGGGGAAAAGATCTCCATTGGTATATTTTCTTTTTAAAAAATATTTTAGCTATTTATTTTAGAGAGAGAGAGAGAGAGCACAAGCAGGAGGGGCAGAAGGAAAGGGAAAGAGAGAGAATCTCAAGCAGACTCCGTGCTGGGTGTGGAGCCTGATGCAGGGCTTGATCCCAGGACCCTGGGATCATGACCTAAGCCGAAGGCAGACACCTAACCGACTGTGCCACCCAGGTGCCCCTCCATTTGTCTGTTTTCAAATCCACTTAGTGGTAGTGAAGTATTACAGGTAAGTGCATAGAAAGAATGAATCCACCAAACAGATCTGCTCACAAGGCCAGCATGGTGCTACCCGCTGCTGTTCAAGCTCAGCTACGTGCCCTCTAATCATTTCATTTCCTTCTACTCTTTTCTGGGCAACCTCCTTCAAAACCAATGCTTATGTGCCCTGCCTGGACCTCATTTGGCCTTCAAATGGCACCTGAGGCACCAAAATCTTAAAACGAAACACAAACAGATACACCCAGATGATGGCCTAAGCATATGCCATTTTAAAACTTATTATTGAAATTAAAACATTTTGGGGTCCCCTGGCTAGCTCAGGCAGAAAAGTGTGTGACTCTTGATCTCAGGACCATGGGTTTGAGCCCCACATTGAGTGTAGAGATTACTCTAAAAAATAAAATAGAAAGAAAGAAGAAACATTTTTGTGAAATCTGAGGATACCTCCCCAAAGATAAATCTGGAGGTCTCCAGAGGTCCAGGGACCCCAGTTCAAGGAAGGGAGCAGAGTCTGGGAGGTAGAGGGAGATGCAGAAAGCTGCTAAGGTGATGGAAGGCCTGGGGCAACGACAGTTAGAGCTGGATGGGAAGATGGGGAAAGGACTTGGGAAGTTGAGGAGAAGGGAAGAATGAAACTCTGAGCAGCAGGCTCTGGAGTCCATGAATCAGCATCATCTGATGCCCCTCCTCTAGTTATCCTGCCCCACCTGTCTTCAGTTGCTGTAACAGACAGAACTGCCACTTGTGAAGTCTTCTCTAGCACTGTTTCTCTGGATGCAATTCTCAACACCCTACCTTTTTTGAAGCTTGGCTCCTTCTCTTTGATGAGGTCTTTAGCCAAAATATTAGTTTCCAGAAAGGTCTTCACTAACCCCCCAATCTTAATAAGGTTCCTCACATGATTCTTCTATACAACTCGTTCTTTGCCTTTGAGGTTTGTATTAGTTTCCTATTGCTGCTGCAACAAAATAGCAGAGACTTAGTGATTAAACAATACAAACATATCCTCCTGCAGTTCTGACGGTCAGGAGCCCTACAGTCAAGGTGTCAGCAAAGCTGCATTCCTTGTGGAGGCTTCAGAGGAGGATCTGTGTCCTTCCTGGTTCCAGGTCTTAGAGGGGGCCTGCATTCCTTGGCTCACAGCCCCTTTCAGCTTCAAAGCCAGCAGCACAGCGTCCTCTAATCTATCTCTGTGCCCACCTTCACATGACCTTCTCTGACTCCGACCCTCCTGCCTCCCTCTTATAAAGACCCTCATGATGACATTGGGCCTTCCCAGATAATCCAGGAAAATCTCCCCATATCTAGAGCCTTCTCTAACCACATTTGCAAAGTCCCTTTTGTCATGTAAGGTAACATATTCACAGGTTCTGGGGATTAGGATGTGGACATCTCTGGGGCCATTATTTATTCTATAACAAGGCTCTTACTACAACTCAATTTGCTTACTTTTTTTTATTGTCTATCTCACACATCAGACTGTAGGGTCCATGAGTGAAAGAACTATGACTGTATTATGGTGCTGAGGGCATAGCAAATGGTCATTAAATATTTAATAAATGAGAAATGAGTAAAGGAATGGCAGGATATATGAAGATGGAGGACATGGCTGAGATATCTTCTAAGGAAGTTGGACATGGCTATTCTGTCTATTCCAGATTTCACTAAAAATGGTAGAAAGCAAACCAACCTTGCTCAAGACACCTTCCTTTCACTGCTCTAGAGTATATATATCAACCCTAGGGAAGGTCTTTGACTGAGGTTCAAGTGTCCACCCCATTATGGAGCAATCCCCGTAGCCATGAAAATAAGGTGATGTGATTGTCAGAATCATCATAGCCACCAGGCTAGAATTGATGAGGGGTATTTTGGAAAAAGGTAACAGGGCTGCTGCTGCCAGACAAGGGGGAAAGGAATGTTGGACAGACAGAACAAATTCTGCCCAACAGCATCTGAGCACTTATTACCAATAAAAGCTATCACTAAATCATCTTGCATCTTTTAACCCTCTTTCTTTCTGTATGTATGTATCTTCATCTCTAATGGTTTGTCCTTTAGCCAGTTTTCTATGTCCTTCATCTTTCCACTTTTTCCCTTTTTCCTCCAAAAGACATGGCTGATATATAAAACCAAACTGTTTATGTAAATATGTTATGCCTACAAAATAAAGCTTTGTATCCCCAGCTCTTATTTTTAAAGCAAATGAGTTGGAACATTCTACACTCAAGAGTGCAGTAAAGAGAGTTCCTGGTTAGAAGCTTGAAGTCTTGTGATCTGGCACTAATTCTCTAACTAGCTGTGTGACATAAAGTCAGTTCCCCAGGCTTGACTTTAAATCTCTTTCTGTGAGGGCACCTCAGTGGCTCAGTTGGTTAAGCATCTGCCTTTGGCTCAGATTATGATCCCAGGGTCTTGGGATCAAGTCCCATGCTGAGCGGGGAGTCTGCTTAGCCCTCGTCCTCTGCCCCTCCCCCTACTCATGCCCGTGCTCTCTCTCTCAAATAAATAAATAAAATCTTTGAAAAAAAATTTTTAATTAAATTTTAAAAAATCTCTTTCTGTGAAATGAAGAAATGGGTCTAAATGATCTCTAAGATTGTGAACATCTCTAAAATTGTATTACACAAAGGTAAAGAGTAACTAAAATGCAAGGAAGAATGTTCATAACCAGGAAGGTGGGTTGCATATAATCTTGGAGTGGTGTTTTGTTTTGTTTTTAGGAATCATTGCCCTTCAATAATAACAGCAATAATACTAATAAGCTTACATTTATTGAATGATTACCATGTCCTAGACACTGTTCTAAGTAGTTTACATGTCACAGCTCACTTAATCCCCAGCTGGGGATAACTAAAGCACAATTGACAGAAAGATGCTCTGCCCCTGAATTATAGATTGCTGGCAATAGTCTCCCCATGACAGTGGATCCTCAAATCAGGAAAAAGAAAGCTATTTATTGACCTGCCCCAGATGCTGTATTTTGCACCCAACTTGCTTACGCCTCACAACTTACAAGATAAACATTCATGTATTTCTCCCTTTGGCTGACAATCAGTAACTGTTTAAAAAGAGATATTCCAGTTCGAGATAGTGATAGATTAGGATCCTGAACTCACCTCCTCCCATGAACACACTGAATCTACAGCTGCATATGAAACAACTTCCTCTGGAAAAAAATACCTAAAAATTGGCTGAGCAACTCCTATGCAACAGAAGAATGAGAGAAGGTCCATATCCAAGCAGACAGGAGAGACCGTCTTCCCATAAACTTCTCCCCCAGTGCAGTGACCCACAGTCAGGAGGGAACACAAAACCCAGAACTTCTCCTTGAGGAGTGAAGGATTTGAACCCCACATTGTGCACACCCAATTTTTAAGACTTGCACCTGGGAGATGAGCCCCCAAAACAGCTAGCTTTGAAATGCAATAGCGCTCATGTCCACAAGATCCATAAGACTATAACAATCTGAGTAAAAGCTCTTAAATGGCTCATGTACTCAGACTCACCCACCCCAAGGCCCAGTGTGGAAGTGGCCAAACGAGGGGCACTCAGACTTTGTGTGAAAGAGGCTCATTTGCTTGACTTGGAGCATCAGCCTGAGGGGCAGGCATCTGATAAAAGGAGATGTGATAGATTAAAGATGGTTGCCAATTAATTTGCTGTTCCTCCCATTAAGAAGTGGGAACTATTTCCCTTTCTCTTGAAACTGGGCTGACCCCATGACTTACTCTAAACAATCAACAGTGATTAAACTTACACGGGGCCAGTTCCTGGCTAAGGCCTTGTCCTGATGGCTTCTCCCTCTGCATTCGGGGAAACCAGCAGCCGTGCTATAAGGAAGTCCAAGCTATCCTGCTGGAGATAAGGATCACATGGAGAGGCCTGGGGATGAGACAAGAGAGAGAGAGGGAGAGAAACTGAGCTTTGTAGAGTAATTTTCCAGCTGACAATCAGCACCCAGACCCCAGACATGTAAGAGAGGCTTTCTCCCCACACCTCTTTTTTTTTTTTAACCTTTTGACCCTCTTCACCCACTTCTCCAGACCCCAACCCCTCACTTCTGGCAACCACAAACCTCTCTGTATCCCATTTACGATTGCATCAAAAACAATAAAATAACTAGGAATAAATTTAGCCAAGGAAGGGTAAAACCTGTATATAGAAATCTATAAGACATTAATAAAAGAAATTGGAGAAGACACAAATAAATGGAAAGATTTTTCTATGCTCATGGGTTGGAAGAATCAATATCATTAAAATGTTCATACTACCCAAAGCAATCTAGGGATTCAGTGAAATCCCTATCAAAATTCCAATGGTGTTTTTCAAAAAAAGAACAAATAATTCTAAAATTTGTATGGGAATCACAAAAAACTCTAAATAGCCAAAGCAATCTTGAAAAAGAAAAACAAAGCTGGAAGTGTCACGCTTCCTGATTCCAAAGTATATTTCAAAGCCATAGTAATTAAAACTATATGGTATGGAAATCAAGCCAAATCTTGATTTCGGCTCAAGTCATAATCTCAGTGTCACAGGATCCAACCTCACATCAGGCTCTGTGCTTAGCAGGGAGTCTGTGTGGGGATTCTCTCTCTCCTCTCCCTCCGCCCCTCTCCTCACTCACACACGTGTGCTCTCCCTCCCTAAAATAAACAAAAATAGGGCGCCTGGGTGGCTCAGTTGGTTAAGCGACTGCCTTCGGCTCAGGTCATGATCCCAGGGCCCTGGGATCGAGTCCCACATCGGGCTCCCTGCTCCACAGGAAGCCTGCTTCTCCCTCTCCCACTCCCCCTGCTTGTGTTCCCTCTCTGGCTGTGTCTCTCTCTGTCAAGTAAATAAAATAAAAAAAAAAAAAATCTTAAAAAAAAACCATTTAAAAAAATAAAAAATAAATAAATAAAAATAAATTAAAAATGAAATTAATTAATAAATAAAATAAATAAATAAATCTTAAAAAAAAACAACTGTATGGTATTGGCATAAAAACAGATACCTAGATCAATGGAATAGAATATAGAACCCAGAAATGAACCCATGAATATACAGCCAATTAACTTATGACAAAGGAACCAAGAATATACAATGGGGCAAGGACAGTCTCTTCAATAAATGGTGTTGGGAAAACTGGAGAGCCATGTGAAAAAGAATCAAACTTGACCACTATCTTACATGATACCAAAAATCAACTTGCAGTGGATCCAAGATTAGAACATAAGACCTGAAACCATAAAACTCCTAGAAGAGAACATAGGCAGTAATTTCCTTGGTATAGATCTTGGGGATGATTTTTTAAATCTGACACCAAAAGCAAAAGCAACAAAAACCAAAATAAATAAGTGGGACTACATCATACTAAAAAGCCTCTGCATAGGGACGCACGGGTGGCTCAGTTGGTTAAGCATCAGCATTCAGCTCAGGTCATGATCCCAGGGCCCTGGAACCTAGTCATGAGTCGGTCTCCTTGCTCGGCAGGGAGCCTGCTTCTCCCTCTGCCTGCCACTCCCCCTGCTAGTGCTCGCTATCTCTCTGACAAATAAATAAAATCTTAAAGAAAAAAAAAAAAAAAAGCTTCTGCAGAGCAAAGGAACCCATCAACAAAATGAAGAGGCAACCTACCAAATGGGAGAGGCCTTCTCAAATCTTCCAGCCAGCTAATCCACTACCTGGATGCGGCCATATGAGACACCTCCAAGGAGACCAGCAGAAGGACTTCCAGTCAACCCTAAACTCATGAGGAATAATAAATCACTGTCGCTTTAAGGCACTAAGTTTTGGGGTAGGTCGTTACACAGAAGTATTTATGTGAAACAGGAACAACGAACTCTTTCTCATTTCTTCTCAGTTACACAGGTGCTTTGACCAGTGAGAGCAATAAGTGTCAGTTACTTAATGTAAGTTAGAGGATAGAATCTACCTCTTATAATACATAAGGATAGCTGTTCTCCCACTGAGTGTAAGAGTTTAGCCTAGAGTCAAATGGCACCGATGTTAGGTCTTGCCTGGGTATGCAAACCACGCAGACAGCAGCAAGGGATGAATGGATAGATGTGGCCATCTCAACCATCAACGCGAACGGACACATAATTGCTTTGGCTGTTACAGTCAGGATCCATCACAAAGAGAAGAAACAGATGCTTGGCCTTGCTGTAGTCTCAGCAACCAATCGTCTGCAGTAGAAACAGATGCTTGGCCTTGCTGTAGTCTCAGTAACCAATCGTCTGCAGTAGAAACAGATGCTTGGCCTTGCTGTAGTCTCAGCAACCAATCGTCTGCAGTAGAAACAGATGCTTGGCCTTGCTGTAGTCTCAGCAACCAATCGTCTGCAGTAGAAACAGATGCTTGGCCTTGCTGTAGTCTCAGCAACCAATCGTCTGCAGTAGAAACAGATGCTTGGCCTTGCTGTAGTCTCAGCAACCAATCGTCTGCAGTAGAAACAGATGCTTGGCCTTGCTGTAGTCTCAGCAACCAATCGTCTGCAGTAGAAACAGATGCTTGGCCTTGCTGTAGTCTCAGCAACCAATCGTCTGCAGTCTTATGTTCCATACCGGCATCCGTGGGCCCACATGACTGTGGGTGACGGGCAGTGACACCTTGGTCCCCCACACACAGCAAAAGCTACATGATTTAAGGTCCACCTTGGTACTTCTGCCTTGTGGAATTGTTCTCAATACCTCAAACCCCTGGATTTAGGTCTTTTACCTGTTCTGATCTGCATTCGGTGTGTGTTTTCCTGATTTCTAGGTTTTTGCAGCCCACTCTAGTCCCATCTATCTGACGTCTCAGGTTTAACAAGAATATCAGGTTCCGGTTCAGACCTGCCTAGGGGATGATTCTTTGTTCAGGCCTACACTACCGATGTCTCTGCACTGGTCAGTTATCCAATAAACATGCTCTGAGCACCTCCTAAATGCACCAAAGATAAAAGAAGCATTAGACCTGACTCCTATCCAGACACCAAGAGCTTCCAAACTGAAAATGTCCTGTATTCCATTTCTCCCAAAAGAGTACAGAGTTCCACTTAATACTTCGGTAAAATAGAAAGTGATATCCCATACACAGACATCCAATTTGCAGCGAATCAGAAAACCGTAAAACACACCTGACACTAAAATTATTCTGCACTGAAGTCAATCATTTTTTGAGAATTCATGAGATTCTTCAGGATCTTACAGAGCCTCTAGAATATCATTATGAATATCAGTTATCCTTCTGCTTGCAAAGCAGAGAAATGCCAATTAGCAGAGATTTCCTATTGACAGAAAGCCAGCTAAGCCAGCTCTCACACATTAGTAAAACAGAGAAAATAAGCAGAAATTAGAAAGTAGGAGAGAAAGCATACATTTTTTTACCGGGGCAAACTTTGAACTTTTCAGTGCCCAACCTTGGAACAAGGCAGAGATAAAGAGTGGTTGGTGTTTCCAGTAAGTATTGTGTCCTTACCAGACCCTTCTTTCAGATTCAGACTGGGGTCAAGCTGGGGGAGGGCTCCCTTACTTTCTTCTTTGGGAACAAAGACTTCTGGTTGTTTGGAAAAGATAAAATCTTTCTCACATCCTAAAAGGAGCTGGGGAAGGTAATTATTGAAAGGAGATTTACACTTCAATGTTAGAAATAAAGAAGCCACTCCAAAGAGGGGTTTATAGGTTACAATGCAACCAGAACCATCCCAGGGAGTTGTTAATGGCACCCAGCTGGGTTCTGGAAATATGTTTCAGAGAAATGTCCAAAAACCAGAGTGAAGAATTAGTCTTCCCACAGAATTATTTAAGGTCTGTAATTTCTTGAGAAAGGAATTACTGGCTCAAGACTTTGCAAGGCCGCAGTAATTAAACTAACAAATTATAAGTACATTTATCTGGATAAAAGATATTCATCACCCAGAGGGTGTGACTGCCACATCCCACATGCTCAGTGTCCATAATTCTTCCCATCGGGCACCTATTTGCTCTGCACTGTGGGAAAAGTTTGCTTCTTTAGAAAGGAAGGATTTCACCTGCAACGCCCCTCACTCAGGTCCTGTGAATGACAAACGCTGAATGACAGCCACATAGAAGACTTCAGGTTGCAGGGGACAAGGGAAGGAGGGAGGGAGCGCCTATCCATTTTAATGCCTGCAGCAGGAGGAAATTAAATCTCTGCTATGCAAAGCTCTGTGGCTAGCATAAGATATGAGAAGAAATATCTAAGTGTGGTTATAAATGAGAAAGGTCAAAGACGTATTTTTCTCCTTCACCTTTATGCAATTTATCGGGAAACTGGCATATCATTACTCAAAAAGAAACGAGACCATTGCAGTTGCTTTTACTCTGCTAGCTGAGTCAAACTTTGCATTTCAGAGCAGTTCCTCATGGCAGGGGTGAGGGTACTTATGCTGCCAAGCTTACCCAGGGGTGGGAATAAAAATGATTAAGTCTGGTCGCCCTGTCTACATTCCTGGTTAATGATTTGCATGCTATTTAATGATGTCCACAGCGTCACCAGCACACTCCACAGGCTCACTTGCTAGTCCATCACTCCGATCACTAAAAAAATATTAAGTAAGAGCTTCTACTTAATGTATCCTTCGGGTTGACCCAGAGTATTGAAAAGCTTCTTCTTAGGTGCAAACTCTGTCATTGGTTCCCTGACTCATGGCAGGATATTCTGGGGCTTGATCTTTTTGGAAATAAGAATGGGGAACAGAACCCAATGCCCAGAATTGTAATGAACAGCATTTCCTCACTCGCTCCTGGGTTAGCTGTTCATCCTAACTCTGGGCTTCGACTAAGATGTCTAGTTCCTCCACCTTAGCAATCCTGTTCTGTGATTGTCACCATTCCCCACCACTGCTATGCATGGGTGCCCATGCTCACAAGCACATAAACACCTTCAGTAGATTGGTT